CTAGGGTAGGCTCGTGCCTACCCAGGCCTCGTGGCTCCGCCGCCTATGTTCACACTCATCTACACGCCACGTCGCTGACTTGTGTACTGGTGGCTAAATAATTGTGGCATCTTGTTGACAAATTTTCGAATGAAGAAAATTTCCAATCTTATCTCTTACGGCAGGTCGTACCGGTGAAATGTAGCGCATTAAATACAAGTGACAAAGAAATGATATATCAATGTGCACACCTTAGAACATACCTACAGTGCGACTTCGAAAAACAAATAACAGAGAATTATTTCGATGAAATTAGCTCGTTGGAACCGAATGCACATAATCATCAAAATCGAGTCCCAACTATAATACGTATACGATCTTTGTTGAGAGCTATTTTTATCAATTCAACCTCAGTGAGTCTTGCAGAATGTTACACACGTCGAACTATGTGAAATGCATACACTAGCCGAAGTCCATGTTCATAAATGGCAAGTTTATTACACTAATACCATCCACTTTCGAAACTTGATTTGTACTCAATTGACAATTTCGTCCTTTGTATCATTAAAACCCTGCTATGCCATCTAATCCGAGCAAATTCTAAGATTTCAGAAAATCATTAGGACGACCGAGTAAAACACGATCTACTGTTTCAGAAGTTTTCTTGTAGTACACAATAATATTCTTATCCTTATCTTAATGTGTACCTGAATAATTGCAAGTTGCCAATCCACCTACACATATAGCAACACCCCGAAGTTCGGATGGATTTTAGTGCATATGAAAGATATAAAGCGTAGAAGCAGAAAAATTGGGACATATACATAAAAAGCAAGATGAAAGATTTTTCTTCAATGAATCCATCAACAATAACAATTCCAGTAATGGATACAAAAATATTGTCATAATTTCTCGATTTTAAGAATTATAAAAATGACTTCAAACACGTAGAAGAAAATAAGTGTTGTGAAAAACATCATAAAATCAATTTCAAATGGCATATCGTCATATTATCCGTCTTTGAACCTGTTCTTGAAAATATTTTCGTTCAAAATTTATGTTCAAGGCTTTGAGTAATTCACTCATAATTTTGAGTCTAGTTTTGGAAAGAGCACAAAATTTTCATCTTAACATTATTTGCCTTCTGTCATGTAAAAAACAAATATAATTGTATCCGATACACATGAACTATATATAGATTGATAAATAATACCTAGAATATGATAATATCCAAGCGCATTTAGGAAAAATATCTAAGAGAAAACAGGAAGAGAGCATTAGTCATAAGACAGAATCGAAAAATACATATAATAACATGGAAAAACATACTCGACAGACAGGATAAAATGCATATGATGTACAAAAAAGAAGAAAAAAATCCCAACATATAAAGAAGAGCGCAGAAAACTTATAGATGACAACATCTAATTCAGATTTTCATGCAACTTCGAAAATAATAAGATTTATCAGAATTCTAACACTTTTTCACAGATTTACTGATTGACGTTGGAATGAAAAAATGTTTTTTTTTTGGAAATGTTATTTATTGTTGCTTTTCGAACTTTATTGACGCTTTAACATAGTCATGAATCTAGTAAAAATGTGTAACACCAGCAAGCCATCGGACCAATGAAGGTGTGCCTGATATTTCTTTTCTTACCAGTATTTATCTAATTATATAATTATTGTGGCAATGTTATGTCGCCAGAAGTGACACCATCTGACATAAGTTTGTGTTCTCTTATCTTGCTATGCAAGAGCGCCTTTATTCGAATTTCCAGATGCTGTATAAGTACACACAAGTCTTCGTTTGATGTGTCATAGATGACACATCGACTCCTTGTGAGATCGGGTAGTCCCATGGGATGGAAATTTTGCGATCATCCCATCCCATAAGACAAGCTGATATTATATAAACTTATTCTATGGCTAAGAACCATACAAATATTTTGATATTGATATCGTACTCGTCTATTCGAACGAAACAAGTGAGCAATAAAAACTCGGTAAGCTGAAATAGCACAGTATTTGATACTGTTAGGATCCGCCATCTATATAATATATATAGATGGTCGGTCCTCCTCCTTCTTTCTTTTCATCTATCTCTTTTCTTCCATCTTCTTGAGTTGTTTTTTATTACTATCTGAGGAGATGTGGATTATTCTTGTTGTGGTGATTTAAGGTCAAAACATTTTTGCTTTTTGTTGTCCTTGTTTTGTTTACTCTTTTGTGAAGGATTAGGTTCTTGATATATTACTTTGAATAAAAGGAAAGAACGGAACCTAACAGATACTATCAACCGATCACAGTGGCGTAGCCAGGAGTAGGGCCATTGGGCAATTGTCCATAGCTACAAAAGTAATTGCCCGTGGATTTATTGAGCTATGCAGTACTTGAACAGTTATTGCCTATAGATATTTTTACAATCATAACGGTTGCCATTAGCTGCCCGTAACTCAAAATAGTTCGGCTGATGAATTGCCCATGACTCAAAAATTCCTGGCTACGCCACTGGCCGATCGATAAGTGTTTGAATAAATTTTACTTCTTTTAAAAAGTATTTGACGATTGAAATGTCCCATGCAATGAGGCAGTAAATTTTCAAGTCTCATCCCATCCCATCCTATTCAGAATCCTGATTGATGCAAACTTTACTTGACGTTTTTTCTCAAAACTAATGTCTATTCGGAAATTAAAGATACTCGATTAAAAATTGAATAAATCAAGAACGATATGTCTTAGCGATTTGTCCTTTTCAGCATAGAAAGAGCACAGTGGGGGACACTAGTCTATATAGGATACAATGGGATTCAATAGTGATAAAGGTTAGAAAAATATGAACCTTTGAAAAAAATAGCTTGAACTTATAGTCCATAGAATCATTTTTTTCTTCTTTTAATAAAAAATAATAAAAAAATATGAACCAGTTTTAATGATCGTTCAGAAAAATCTAATCTATAAATATTATATAATAATGTGATCGATATGCTCGAATACGATATATTTCGCACCTTAGATTTTTTTTCAATCTATATTGACTGTTGTCATTCACTTTAGAAGGATTGATAACCTGTATGTATATATTATTCAAGAGCAATTTCACATTATTAGAATATTTCGATGAAGGACTGCATAACTTCTTCATGCTAGCCTTCAAGCTTTCGACTATCAAATAATTGGTAGTTGGATATTGTGTGCTATTGATAGGTGACCGGCCATCATTATAGTCCATATAAAAGAAGAAAAGTATGATTCTATCGACTATGAGTTCAAGCTATTTTTTTCAAAGGTTCATATTTTTCTAACCGTCATCACAACTGAATCTTATCGTATCATATATAGACTAGTGTCCTCCACCGTGCTCTTTCTATGCTGAAAAGAACAACTTGTTGAGACACACCGTTCTTGAGTTATTCAATTGTTAACCGAGTATCTTTAATTCCCGAATACATATTAGTTTTTAAAGAGTAAAATTCGGCACTTCAACTAAACAGAGTTGGATTTTTGATTTTTGACACAGAAATGAGCTTAATGTATCGAAAGAAGTAAGAAACAATTTGTTTAAAATTGCTCGGCGTACCTATTAGAATGGTTTTCATTGGATATACACGATCTCTCTTTCAAAACTACATATTTATTTTTTGAACAAAATGTTTATTATTAATTTTTTCATAGAATCTTCTATTCTTTAAAGTCAATATTCGAGCAATCAAATAGAAAATTCGACATGACAAAGGTTTGTTTAATTGAATAAGAAAAAAAAAGGAAATATTTATTTTATTCAGAAATTGAATGATCTTGAAAATCCAGTATTTATACCGGATCCACAATCAACTAGGATAAATATCGAAAATGGAGTAATAGTAACAACGCAATTACAAGAGGCAGATGATGAAGACGATGATGATGATAATATGAATGATTTAGGTTTTGAAAAATTATCTAGTGAATGCCAGCCTATTGGTTTATTCGTATTAAAAACTCGTAAACAATTAATTAAAATAATTGAAAAACAAAAAGTAAGACAATTTGTTTTTTTTTTCGTTTTTTGTATTCCTAATTTTGTTTTGGATTTTTAATAGACTTTAACTATTTATGGTTGGAGATTAATCTTTATAATTGCTTTTCTAATCTATTTTGGATTTGCTATGAGTAAAAACTATGGTACACCTGCTTTTCCTATTCATGGAAATATTTTTTATGAAAATTCTGGTAATAATCTCATAGACAGAATAAAATTTTAGTAAAGAAATATATTTAGGTTTCGCATTATTCTTTTTGGTATTTTTTGCAATATTTGTTTTTATATGGGAAAAATTTCTTAGACGTTCTATTGAACGTATATATGAATACATTTCAATATCAATCGAAGAAAATGAAACATGGATTAAAACTTGTAGTATTATACATAAATTTTCTTGGTAAGCATTTTGCTACTCACGTGATTTTCGGAAAGTAACAAAAAGTATCAGTACTTCGTATAATCGATCCGAGATTAATTATTGATATTGATGATTTTAATTAATAGGGTTGGCCATATCTTAACTTGTTTTGCTATTCTTCTGTATGTTGGATTAACAGTAGAAAGAACTCGAAACTATATTTCACTTATTGGTATTATCACATTAGTTATACTTGGTACTATCGGTACGTAATTTTATTTTTAATAATTAGAGAATTTTAACTATAAATTCTTTTGTTTTTGATTAGGTTCAAAACATCCTGATCGAGTAAGCTAGGTCATCAATATAAATATTAATATGTATAATATAATATTATGAAAATTAAGATTCGATGGAAAACAATATTTTATTCATTTGTTATTCAATTTCTTTTGGCTACTGTTGTTATACGTCTTAAAGTTGGTTTTCAATTTTTTGATTTTCTTGGAAAAGAAGTATCAAAATTTATGCAGTAATTTATTCTCTTTGATAATCTTCTCTAAATAATATTATTATTATTTAGGAATGCTGATAGTGGAGCAACGTTTGTTTTTGGAAAAACATATCAAGAACATTTTTTTGTATTTAAAGTAAAGTTTTTCTAGAAATTGAATATTTTTATAAAGATTTCTATGTATCTTTTTTGTAACCATTAGGTAACTTCAATAATTATTTTTCTTGGATCTGTAATTAATGTTCTTTATTATTTGGGTGTTATGCAATATATTATAGGAAAAATTGCATGGTTAATGCAAATATGTTTAAATACAACAGCAGCTGAAGTAATTATTGATACTTGTTACTTAGAAAAAAAAAAAGACAGAAATTAAAATTTTTAATAATTTAGTCAATGAATGCAGCTGCAAATATATTTGTTGGGCAAAGTGAAGCACCATTAATGATTATGCCTTTAATACCAACGATGACAACATCAGAACTTCATGCTGTATTAGTAGGTGGTTTTTCAACAATGTCAGGTATTAAAATGAACCTATATTCCGTCTTTTTTTGTTTATATATATATATGATTTATATTAGGATCTATTCTTGCGACATTTATCTTTTTTGGTGTACCAGCCAATCATTTAATTGCTGCCAGTGTTATGGCTGCAGCGGGTGCACTTGGTTTTGCAAAACTTTTATTACCAGAAACACATCATTCCAAAACAACATGGGAAACAGTCAAGAATACTCCATTACCGTATGTTTTGTTTATTTTTACTCAATATATCATTTCAGCAAAATAGATTTTTAGTTTTAAACTCTCCTGACTGATTTTTCCCGTCTCGTCTACAAGGTTTTGGGTTAAACATTTTTCTTTGCTTTTTTTTTCAAGAAATTATGTTCCATTAGCAATAACCGATATAATTAATCATATAATCATCAAAAGTCACTCTTTTTTATGAGTCTTGAAAAGATCTAAATCGATTTTGTAATAAAATAGCAATCCACGAAATCGAGATTTAACAAGAAATAAAATGTCATAGGTTGTCTATTAATAATATTCCATTGCTTTTAAATACGAAGTTTGTTGATAAAACTTTTCGATACTAAAAACGCAAGCTCTAATAAACAAATCGAACCTAAATATTTAACTGGAATTTTTATTTTAGAGAACAACATAATGTTATTGATGCTTTATTAACTGGAGCAGGAAATACTTTAAAAATTTGTGGTTATTTAATTGCAAATTTAATAGCATTTATTGGTATTCTTCATTTTGCTGATATAGTTATATCATGGTTTTTTAGTCTTGTACATCATCCCGAAATCAATTTTCAATATTTACTTGGCTTATTGCTTTATCCATTTTCAATAATAATTGGTATTCCACTTCGTGATTGTCTTCTTTCATCAAAATTGATTGGAATAAAAATTAGTTTGAATGAAGTAAAAACTTTATCGTTTTTTAAATATTCTATCATATTTGTTGTTTTTTTGTATCAATAGTTTATTGCTTATCAACAACTTAGTAAAATACTTAAATTACGTAATGAACTTATATCAAATAATACATTTTCATTATATTTAAATGGTACATTAACATTACCAAACGATACTCCAATGTTATGGGATGTCAGTATATTATATTTTCTCTTTTGAAGAAAACATAATGTTTCTTTTTGTCCTTTGTTATACTAGGATGTTTCACCAATTATTTTAACTTATGCTTTATGTGGTAAATATTATTTCGATGTTTCATTATTGTTTTATTGAGTTCGATTGTTAACAGGATTTTCTAATTTTGGTTCAATGGGTATTGCATTAGCAACACTTGGAGTTTTTGCTCCAACACGAAAACGTACTTTAACAAAAATTGTCCCACGTGCTTTGATTGCTAGTATTATGGTTTCGTTAATGACAGCATCGATAGCTGGTATAAGTAGAAAAAACATATTTGTTCTATATATGAGAATTTTATTTTAGGTCTACTTTATGATGCTCGACGTGTAACAGTACCAATATTAAATCTGAATTCTACGCATGTCTAAATTCAATGTCTTTTTGTTTTTTTTTCTTATTATTTGTATTCTTACTATGAATGATGTGTTATTTTATTTAAATTAATTGTCTATAGAATTAAGTATTTGATTTGTCAATAATTAAGAATAAAGTTTTCTTAGTCTGAAAATTTCAAATATTATCTTACACAACTAATAATAGAATTTTATGATAAAGGGGTCTGGATGTGGATGTAAGTGTTTTCTACGTTCACATTCACAGCCTAAAAACGAGATCATCATCGTCAAGATGACTAATCGAAATGTTCTTCGTAATCGAATTCTGATTTGAATTCGATTTTACAACAGATGATAAATTATTTAATTGAAAGATCATTAATGATTTATTCAAATTTTTTAAGAAACTCATTCATTCAGGACTCAATTGAAGGAACAATACGGACGATTTGTCAACATGGCTTTCTCCTTATTTGTAAGAATACATTCGAAAAGAAACCACTAAATTATATTCTGTGAACGAAGTTTTTTCTGAAGCTTTAACTTTGGCATCCTTCAGTGCAAACATTGTCTGTGGCTTAGCATTCAATATTATCATTGCAAGACTTTCTCACAAACTGAGATTGATGATGTGCTATACATTTTTCTAATAGTCTGACATATGAATTGGATGCACTTCATGATAAAAAAAGCAATACACATGACTAAATAATGCTTATTGTTTATGGAAACTTTGTAGGTTTACAACACGAAAGTTAATTCATGTAGGTTTCGATGATGCGTGATTGATTATACGTGTTTGGAATGTATTTGGTTGGGTGTGAGCAATAGATAGAACAAAAGCCTCGTTGTTACTCACACCCATCTAGCCATCTCTCCGTTCATTTTTACCTGCAAGATAATTACTTTTAATTCAGATGGAGATGAAACAGTAATATTATTTTCTTTGCATTGTTCGAATGAAGATAGTTAATCAACTGATTACTGTACTACTAATCAATGGTTGATGTAAAACAACACACGCTTTTTAAATCATCAAAATCTTTCGATTAAATTCGAATATTTTAGAAATAGACTCGATAAATACCTGTTCCTTGTGAATCATATGGAAGTATCTTTCCTTTGAAAACATCAGCTATCTGCTATTTTTCAAGAGTGTCTACTCATATATTAGGATCTCAAAATACAACACATATCGGACAGAGATAACATATGAGTTCTCTTTATATAATAGCAACTTTAATAAGTGAAATATTTGAAGTGTTTTCATATGAACCGAAAGATTATTGTTGTGGTCGTTGAATTCTTTTTATTTCAAACTTAATTTAAACCGTTGTATAATTGATGTATAATCCTGACCACAGAAAGATGTAAGTGAAGAAATGAGTATAAGCAAAAAACAAAAGATATCAAAAGTTATTCTATAATTAGAATATCGCAATGTCTGAATTCTTAAGTCTTTTGATGAAGTCTTAAATTTATTGCTAAAGAAAAATGTGAAAATCAAGCATGAACAAAATTTGACAAAAGTGTTCTTGTCGACTCATGAACTAGCGATTTTCAATACTAACAACTGAACTAAAATTAAAGTAATAGAAAATATATTAATCATGCAAGTGTTCTAGTAAGAGAGCAGTGCGCTTTGTTTGAGAATCTTATACTTTAGCTTTATAATCAAGTTTAATATATGTATTGAAAAGTTTTACATTCAACACACGCTAGTATAATGTCAAAAATATTTGTATAAATACAATAGTTTTCTCCATATATAAGTTTTCTTTAAAATTTGCATTTCGAATGAGATCATTAATATAGAAGTAGTTGACTTGTGAAAGTCAGGAGAAGCAAAAGTATGAGCTTTTGACAATTTGAATATTGCGTTAATATTTTTGTCAAATACTGTAGAACGCGACACTTTAGAAGAAAAAAGTACACTTCTGATAATTATTTTTCTTCAAGAGAAATGATGACGTTTCGCTGCAGAATTAAATGTTTGAAAGCAACGTCATCAAAGTGACAAAAAAAAATTTTAAAAACAATCGATATGTTCTTGCTACCTGTCCACGGAATTCTATGACTTAACGAGAAAAAAGTCCTGAAACATAAGTGAAAGAAAAATTTTAAAAACAAGGTAAGGCGCGATTTTCTGCGTATGGAAGTGAATAGAGCTTTTAATTGTGGCGTGATGAGTGTGTTTCGAGACACTACATGGAAAATACATTGCTTGGACTTGTGAGAAGAGAAAGAAAGATGCATTATACTGATAAGCAGTAGGAGGCGATAGCGAAGAGATTAATTGTGCGGCAGTATATTTCATTGCAAATGAATAAACAAAGACGATGACATTCATGATCTACAAAAATAATTTGACTGCATCTACGAGCAGAAGTAATTTTCTTACCCATGTCGTCCTTTTTTTCAAGTAGCGCCGTTATAACGTCAAAACGCCATTTAGTGGCATTATTTTGCAATTTAATGCCGCTAAGTATCGTAATTATTTCAGTAATATAGTGCCGCTATAACGATTAAAATTATTCTAGCAATATAACGTCGCTAAGTATCATACTTTTCTAGCACTCTCTACGTCGCAATAACGGTATCAAAATGCCATCATACTAGTTTCATCTTTAAGTTTAAAAAAATTATTATTTGAATGTGTATTGTCGTCTTCAAAATTTTGACGATTTGATTGATCAAAATAATCACGATTCAGAGATTTAGCATATTACCGGATCTCCTGTCTTCTCTTTTGAGATTTGTTCTGAGCACTTGAACTTTTATATGCATCTGAAACTAAAGAGAAAATATTGTTTGCTGAACGTCTAATTGATTATTATTGTCGAACAGCATCGAACGTTCATAATATAATTATTTATCGATTATTTTTTTCTTTGTATGCATATCTTCGTGCAGTATACCAGTTCCATCTACATGGTGGTTTAGCACATACACTAGTGTTCGTATTTGAATAATTAATTAGAAATATACAACAAAACCCTCATCTAAGTTTCAATCTCGCTCCTCAGATCGTAGATTGGAGCAATATACGATACACAGTGTGGCCGGACTAGTCTAAATTACCAAAAAGTTGCCCCATAAGCGTAAATACTGCTAAGAAAAAAATTGTATTTCGATTTTGCCTTTAAAACAAATATTTAGTTTATTTCATTGAATAATTACAATAAGTTAAAGATAGTAATGATTATATTTTATTTTCCTTCTGACTCATAGATTGAAGCAAGTTGAATGTTTTCTCTCTCTTCTCAGACAGAACAGACGAGAAAAAATAATCTCTTTGAAAATAACTACTCTCTCCAAATTTATTCCATTGTTTATCAACGATAAACGAACTTAATTTACTTTTCTTCCTTTCCTTTCGTCAATATAGCAATTCAATTTGTCTGACCTGTCATTGTTCAATCTCTTTCAATGTCTCATACTTCAATAACTCCTAGCAACATTCATTAGCAGGAACGTTTCGAAATAATGATATAATTTATATGCAAGAATTAAATAAGGATTGAAAAGGCTTTAAACAAACGACTAGTATGGTATTTTTTATTATTTCGTTAGAAATCGTTACAAATTGTTATACAGAGAATCCATCAATTATTATATAAATCAAAGCCAGATTTATATAACAGTGGAGTTTATACTCTAGTTAAAAGAGAAAAAACAGATTCATCATTCGTTTTCAATGAACGCAGCCTAAACATGAAACTGTTAACTCAAAAGACTCTAAAATTGCGTTGAAAAGGATCTTTCAAGAAGCTTCGACCAGCTTTTTATTTTTATTACGTAAAAAATTAATGCATCAATATTTTCTTTTGAAAATTTAGATTTTATTCTGAAGAGATTATTTAAATTACACTTCTAATATTTATGAAATGCTCATCTGAACTGGTATACGCACATATGAATATCAATTTAGGTACTTATTTTGCTTGAAGAATCAACTAGCGTCGATAATGATGATTCTAATTTTTCTTTATCTTTTGTGAGTATGATATTTTGTCATTTTCATACTTCGATTTTCTTTATTTAGATTTTTAAACCAACTGAAGGCGCGCCTAGTCTCCATTTACTAACAATTCCTGGAACAAAAAACGAAGCAAATATTTATGTAACCGCATTGATACAGCTGATTTACACATATGGATCAACTGGCTTCACTCACACTGGCTGATACCCATAACGACAACAGATATATGTTGGGTAAGGGCAAGAGTATCGATTTCTTCGTAAAGTTGATTTTCTTTATTTTCAGAAGCTGTTTGTACAATCTTTAAACTTAATGACAAGCAACCTGAACAAACATTCGCCGAAGGACTGTACATGAAGTTTTTCTTGCAAAAAAACAAGTGGTCATCGCAAAAATGAAAATTACGAAACAATAATAAATTGTCTTTTTTATCCACGAGCTTATTCATTTTTTTAGTTGTTGATCTACATTACTTGTATTTTTCTCTAATTTATTTAAATAAAATTTAAAATAAAATAATCATATAACTCTTCTAGAAACAAACTTTTAAATATGAACGGGTAGAAGGCACAGATGTGAGGAGGAGGAAGTACAGAAGTACCACAACTGATAAAGATCTAATCCTGTGGTGCTCAATATCGTCTCATAACACCACCATATCACGTTATTATGGTCATAGCGCCGTCATATGGCACTATCACAGTCATAGCGGAGCGCTAAAGGGGGTCACAGTGTGATCGCTATAGCGCCGTTATAACGCCGCTACTTTACCGTTATCGACGACGTGGGTACTTTCAACTTTTTTAAGACGAAGCTGAAGAAAAAATATGGTAAAAGTAGATATTTTCAAGAGAAATAACTCATTATTATCTCTTCATCATTTTATTCTGAGAATGAATTCTATTGATTAGAAATATTGTGCAACCGCTATATGTTCGGACGACTTCATATTCCTCCTATTGCCACCAGCGACAGATTTCATCTTCAGTTAATTTATCGATTGCATGTATTATACATGTGACTACGGCACTTAATGAATACCGATCCTATATATGATTTGTATATGAGAGAATTGCAAAATTATTGTACCGTTTCGAGAAAAAAATGGACGAAAAAAAATTCTCGATTTTGGAAACGATGATTAGTGCATTCTATAGTGTTATGTGAGAGGAGGATGTGGGTAAATTTTCCCGACTACCGCTATCAAATTGGCCGAGATATGAGAGTTTTTCTGAAAATACTGTTTAAAATTGAGGACGAATGATTTTGATACTACATTCCGTAGTTGAATTTTTCGACGATATTTTAGGTCTTTACATTGAGCCTTTTCTTTTTTGATAAGGAACTATGTTCAATGTAGAAGTAGCGACTGAAAAACATGACTTGGTCTAAATTATATTTGGTTTTTACACTTATACAGCGATAGAATTAGTAAATGTGTAGCCAATTAGAGAATGTATATAGTTAGTGATCTTTTCTTTGAGTTTACTAACTTATGAGACACAAACTAGAGATACTTTGTATGAATCTTGATAGGCCCTTAAATATGAAACCAATTTAAATGTATAATGTATTCATTATACTTCAGCTGTGGGGTTCTTATGCACCTGATAATCTCGCGTGACATTTTTTCCAGAAAATCTCGCGTGACATTTTTGAATTATTTCTTCTCTTTTGTACGAAAGACAAACTTTCTGACGCTGATATTTTTAATGATAGTTAGCCATGATGAGCTGATAAAATGATCAAAATTTCAGCTCAAAGTACCGTACCTGAAGAGAGTTATACGTCAGACAAAAAAAAAAATCTCGCGTGACATTTAGTGTGACAACTATGTTTTTAATTTATATTTCATATTATATTCTAACAAAGACTAGCACAACTCTCTCATCGTCTTTGGTCACTTTTATCTCCTACCAACTGACTCTTGTTCAACACCAGCCCGACCAATTTTAGACGCGCTGTTACATACTAAAGTCATTTTCAATCTCGCGTGACAGGAATTTAAGGGTTGACTGTACACATGATATACAGAAAAAAGTGTCATATCAAATATCATGGAACAACCAATCAGTTTTATATCCGATAAGTACATACTGTTAACTGTGATATTTATAACTTTTGAAGTTCAAATGAAAGGAGAACCAATCGGTTATATAACATTTTCTTCCAATAGGTAGCAGTCAAAGTCGGACTATTTATCCTTGTACTCCTAATATCTCAAGATCTATCCGAGATAAAATCGCGATTTTTTGTGTGGCAGTGAGGACTTACTAGAGGATTCTACCCTGAAAAAATCATGAAGATTGAATGAGAGGAACTCGAGATATTAAACTCTTACATATAAGAATCCAATGGTACAATAATTTTGCAATTCTCTCATATGTATTCCTGATTGTAGTGGTAATTATCGCATTATTCGAAACTGTTATTATCATGCAAGTGCATTCACCGAGTATCTCGCTCATCGTCGAGCAGAATTGGTTATTTTTAACAAAAAAAAAAATAGCGCCAGCATTATAAGTGCTTCACTTTCATATCATTGATTTTCTCATGTGTTTTAACTATTTTGGAGATCATGTAACACTAGATGCATCCAAATTGAATTCATTAAACAAATTTTTTTTTTGTTTCTTCTTATGACTCATCTGACGATGAAGGGACATTGACGATAAAAGGATAATAAGAATGTATTTTTATGAATATGAAAGCTTATTTGACTATGTAATTTGTCATTTGTTACTATAAAATAATCAAACCGTCAGTATGTATCTTAGACGTGCTAGATAAAAACTTATTCAATGCAATAAACTTTTTGTTTTCAAAATTAATTTCGAACGCAAATCAAATTCTAAACATCTTACAGTAGATTTTTGTGTTAGTACTAATTCATGATGCAAACTCTTTCGTAAGAAAGTTGGCCAGGTACAAAAGGGTTCATTTTATCCTACTTTTGCATTGTATATATAATTCTTGAATTGGAACAGTAAAAAAGAACACAACAACGAACAGCATACTAATATGGATCGAGAAGAGAAAAAAAAGCGAGCAGAAGTGAACATTTTAGAATATTACATAGTAAAATTTAAAATATGCTATCAAGACATTGCATAAACTCGGTTCAATTTGAAGAACTACATGTGTTCGTAGTTGATTGTACAGTTTGTCATCAAGTAAGAGAATTGATCTCGATCGGTTTTTTTTCAAGTCTGTTGATAAGTGAATAGTTGGAGTTCTGCAACTGGATTCAATGGTAACTGAATTTTGTTTTTTGTCACTAATTCTTGAAATATAACATTCATTTTCTTCATTTTTTATTGCTGCCAGTTACAAGGTGACCTCAATGTGGGTAATAGTTTATGGGAAAGGGGGCTAATTTTTCTTATTTTTTCTTTCTTACTCCTTTGTTGCTATGATTTATACAGCGAGGCAAAGGTTTATATTCAATGAGATGTGCATTTATCTAGAGACACGTGAGAAAATAGGACGCAGTCATGACAACGAAACGGTCGTAGGAAATATAAATGGATTGCAAAAGAAAAAACAAGTGTGTGTGTGTGTGTGTAAGGAAAAGTACGATATTAGTTTTCAAATGAATACGTCTTAAAAATGCTAGTTTTATGTCATCAAGCTGATGAGAAAATTAACTGATGACTTTTTATGCCTGCGTCATTTTTTTCTCTTAAACTAATGTTTTCTCCTATATTAGAAAAATATCTTAAATAAATTATTTTTTGAAAGTCATTTTATGTTTATTTCAAAGAGAAAAACGTCGCTGTTGTTATAGATGAGAGCATTCATTCATCTATTTATTTTTCTTATCTTTGAACGTACAAAAATTATTCAAAGTTATTCGAGCGGTGCACCAATCAATACTTGTAGTTCAATGATGCCTTTTCATGGAATCAACTCAAGCCCATGTCAATCGAATTATGTGATTGAAGCAAACAAATATCAATATAGCAACGATGATACTATTCAAAGTGAGTGATGTTGTCTATCATACTCTTGTCAACTTGCTCGCTTTTTTTTAGTTATTGTTCGGGGTGCAACAAGTTCCGATCTTTTCAAAGGTATTCTATTGATAGCTAAAGGTTCAAATGGTCAAAACATTTTGGGCAATTGGTCATCAATTGATTCATCAGTTCTGGTTATATCTTGCTTTGGTACATCCTCAACTAGCATTACACACGCATCATCAACCACTAAATCTCAAATTCAAGCGACTTGGAGTTCTCCATCTTCAGTAGCTCAAGAAAATGTTGTTATCAAGTAAGTTTCTTTCTCTCCCTATATGTGCAATTAGCATTCATCAATAAACTCGAGATGAATAATTGGTGAGATATTTTTGTTTTCTTTTCCGACAATTTGAAAACAGATTGAGGTCCATTCTCAGAATAATCAATAAAGTCCTCAAAAATAGATAATTAATAGAGTGCGGATCGTCTCTTTATTCTATCCTGAAGAGTTCGTTGGTTTTAGCAATAATGAGAAATTCCATTTTGATGTTCAACCCAAACGATCGTCACGTTGAACGTCAGAATCGAATTTCTCGTTGTTGACAATAATTGATCCAACATTATTCAAATCAATGAAAAGGAAGTTACAAGGAATTATAAATCAACTATAACATCCCAAGTGAGGCTGCCACCATTGTTAGTTACCTACGCAGCAACAAAAGTTTGAGTTTTCAGATTTATAACTCGAATGCATTCTTAGAGCAACTATCGTTCAATCATACAGCATATTTTACGTCGATTGCTTCAGCATTATACTGACTCCTCAAAACGTAAGTCATTTAATCAACTGAAGATTCTCTTTCCGTGTTCAAGTTTGGATGTTTTCTTTAGATTTCTTCGACAATTTCACCTGGCATTCTATCTACAACTATCACTGGCGTTTCACCTACAACTTTCACTACAGTTT